AAGCTGTTCCCACACACACACACACACTTACAAACAACAACACACCCCTGGGGATGAACAAAAACACTTTTCAGAGCTGAACCCGCAGACAGATTCACAGATATCTAGCAAAACATGTAAATCCACAGAGGCATCCTGCGGTGATAATCATTAAGGAAACAGCAGTCTTTGATTATTATGATCTATGATGGAAATCTAATTATCTCACCCAGATTAACACACTTCCTCTGAAGTGGTTTTCATCTAAACTGTTTTGCTTTTTGTTGAAAAGAGATGTAATCCTTTTGACAGTCCTTAAAATATCCATTGCAATTCCTTCACAGCCATCATCTCCAGATTGGTTGATGCCATTGTTCATTATTTATCACATAAAAAACGGTTTAGTGAAGTAATGTATGCCGTCTGTTGTAGCATTAGACAAGAGAACAGTAGCTACATATAGTTTCCTGCCATCAAAGTGCATTAGTAAGAAGGCTTTGTGAGCAGGGCTGGCTATGAGGAGAGGACATGGTAGGATGTGACTGCTGACTGCCTGCTGACTCAAAATTAACTGTAATGGAATTACTTCCATTACCCTGCCTCCCCACTGGCCTAGACAAAGATAAACACACACTACAGCGTTAACACTTTCTCCTTTAAAGTGGTGCCCTGCAAAGTGGTATCAAGATATATGAGTTGGGTCAGACAAAGCAACAGCCACTGTTGTGCCACGTGCACTCATCCTCTGCTAGTTTTCTTGGGCAGACGCCGGGTCAAACCAATTACTATTCCTGAAAGTTGCAATGTAGAATTGGACATAGCAAAAAGTGCAGATAAAGAAAATGAAATTGAATTGACCTCTAACAAATCACACAACAAGTTAGAAAGGACTTGCAAAGGGAAATACAAATGAATTAGGGTGAAAATATTAGCTGTGTGACGCACATGTATGGGTGCATTCACATCTGCAAAATGCATACACGCTGCGTTAGGAATCAAAACCTGTTTATTATGTCCCAGTGACGAGGCATACATAAAGAGAGAGAAACAAATAAGTGGATGGTACATTGATTAGTGTTTGGCAGTCTTCCTTCAAGAACTATTCTAAATTAATTAGTGAAAAAAGATGCTACAGTATGCAATCATTTATATTTGGGTATCGTTGGTATGTCAAAAACACAAGCTTTGTATGCAAATGGAAAAGTAGAGTCTTTGTGGTCTTGCGGATGTCTGAAGATCGAGACCAGGCAAAATCATTTCAAAGTAAATGGTTTAGTATTGATCTGCTTCTAGTCCCCTCTGCCCAGAATGTGGTATGGTAGTCTGTATGCTGACTATGTGCTGAACAGACAATGATCCACACTTAGTCCAGTCTGGAAAAGAAGGAAAACTGAGCCTCAGCCGTGAAATTATAGGTAATTATTCCATCTCACGTCAAATGATGTGTAGTATGATGACTATGTTATGTCGCTAGCTCAGTTCACTCACAGAGAAACAATGTTTAGTATCCAAGAAGAAAATTAACTGCAGGTATAACACCTCAAGGTTGCTATTCAGGTTAAAGAAATGCTGGACTCAGAGCTTTAAGTCCATAATAATCTGTAGTTCGCTTTGAGGTAGATGAGTGTCTCCAGGTTCTTTGGTAAAACGCGGCCCGTCTCTGGCCGCAGACAGCGCTCAGCAGAAGTGAAAATATTTTCGACTACAGTGCCACAAGCAGGTATGGTTAACGCCCTCTTGGCCACGTTGGCAAGCAGAGGAAAGTCAATAGCTTTACGCCGCCAGTAATGCAAAGCCTCCTCATCTGTGGGTTCCTCTCGTAGGTAGACGGCCAGCTCCTGCTCCAGGCTCTTGGCCTGCGTTGTGGGTCTCTGCTTGATGAAAGAGAACAGCTTACAGGGCCGGGAAAGCGAGGAGGCCGGCGATGGAGCTGGGGTAGGAGGGGTAGGAGGGGTCTGGGATTGAGGATGTAGGACTGTGTTGGGTTCTATAGGGCTTGAGGCTGTTGAATGTTTGGACAACTCCTCTATGAGGACTTGTCTGTGCCAGTCGGGGTTGCTGCTCCAAGTGAGCTTGAACTGGGGGTCCAGAGTAGTGGCAGTGATGTAGAGAGGGTCCTCTAGGACAGGGGCCAGCCGGCGCTCTACAGACTGGCTGAGGCCCAGCAGGAGAGAGGGGCAGTGTGGGGTCGACGTCTCAGAGAGATGCTTACGAAGGCCCAGAACACACGGCAGGGCCAGACTGATGGACACATGTCTGTCTGTCATTCTGTCTGCCTGCCTGTCCCCTTGCACCATGTCCCAGGCCTCAGTGAAGGGCTCCAAAGTGTCAGTGAGCTCCCTCAGCAGCACTCTCTCTGAAACCCCTGGCACCAGCTCCTCCGGACCGCTCACCTCCTCCAGGAACTCCATGGAGTCCAGCAGCCGCCGAAGCACCTGCAAACAGAAATAATTACAAACAATTATAAACTATACGGTTAAAACTATGGTCACACACACTCTTTATTTTGTCATTACAGAAAAGCATTTATCAGTATCGAAATATTAACAGCTTAAACATCTTCATAATCAGGACATTAGTGTTATAATGGATCATACTGCTTTCTGGTAACACTTAAAGGTCACATGTCATGCTTTTCTGGTTATTACCCGTCCCCTTGTGTGTTATGAAGGTTTTTATGCATGCAAACGGTCTGCAGAGTCACAAACCCTCAAAGTACACCCTGTAGCGAGTAAAACTCTAACACAGAAAAGACCTGTCTATGCTGCCCCAGAACGCCTCGTTGGAGATTTCTATTTTTCCATTTTTTTCTTCCTGAGTAAAGTGACGTAACGGCCCCACACACGCACGCACACGCACACACACACACACACACACACACACACACACACACACACACACACACACACACACACACACACACACCCCCTTATCTTTTCTCAGCTGCAGCTCGGTGAATTTCTCAGCCTGAACTGAGACACAGACACAAACTCACAGGCTGAGTTCAGGTGAGTATCGCGGTGTCTCGCAGACCCCACGCAGCAACCAGGAAACAGCCCCAGTAATCCAGCTCACAATGTGAGCCCCGCAACGCCCCGCCAACACGGCACCCAGTCCCCACGCAGCATTCTCATCTGTTTGTCATTACTGGTGTCATTTTCTAGTTGCTAACAAACGCCATTGTAACACATAATCACTGATGTTCCGCTGTAACGGTGGTGGACTCATCAGAACAGATCAACAATCTATTCTAGTAGACCTCAACAATGGAATTATGATCAGTAGAAATGGCCATGACATGGGACCTTTAATATTAACCTCCCTAACATGTATTTATAAGCAGCATATTAACAGCTTAAATCTGGCTTTTAACACATTATTATGTAGTTGCAAGCCGGTATTGGGACCTTTTGAAATGTTATTTAATGTTTTTTGTTTCTACAACTCCTCACTTAAGACCTTTAATTAATGGTACAACTGGTGATTGAAAATACAAGAATATATAGCTGTAAAACATTTGATTATGAAATGATTCACATGCATTTACACAAACTTAAAAGTGTGTTTATAATAACATCATGGTGTAAGAAGGTATTAAGTGATATACTATAAATGCTTAGTAGGGGGAGTGAAGGTAAAGGGCTGCTTGTATACTATTAATACCTTGAGTTGAGCAGCCCAGTCTCTTGCTGCATGAGGGGGAGTTCCCGGCCCCCCCATGCTCAGCCCAGGACCATCAAACACCTGGCTCAGCTTCTCAGGAGGGACCGCCGAGGTAATGTAGTTGTAGAAACAGGCAGCCTTTGCCAGTGTGGAGGTGATCTGTGGACAGGAGTGTAACCCCTCTCTCACACACTGTTCAAGTGAGCGGGAGAAACAGTCCACTCGACCAACACCCAGACCCTGCTCCCACGAGTCCTTCCCCTCTCCTCCATCAGCATGGCCATTCTGTATCCCTTCCTCCTCATTGTTACTATTGTCCTCCTCTTCTCCATCAATTACGTCTTGCCCCGTAGTGGGAGCAGGAGAAAGCAGGAAACCGGGAAGAAAACATGGCTTTAATGTTGTTGTTGCCAGGAAAGGATCTGCAACCACACGAAATGCTCTCCCTGACACGCCATGAGAGTGACATACTTCATCAAAATCTGAAAGCACACGATTCCCAGAGAATCTTCCAGTCAGAGGAAGGCACGCAAGGAGAGCCGAATGCATCTGCCAATCAGATGTGAGAAAGTGGCAGGTGACACCAAGGTACCTACAGAGAGAGAGAGAGAGAGAGAGAGAGAAGTGGACTCATCAGTGAGGTAATCAAACGAAGAGGGATTCATGTTGTTTTTTTGTTGATTTTACCTCCTTACCCTGAAGTGGCTCCAGTGAAGCACCTCCAGAGATCCAGGCTGAGGCTAAGGGCGTGCAC